ACATTGTGGTTGCTATCTTTATAGACCAACTCTTGAAGTAACTTCACTTAGCTATAGTGCGATTCAATATTGATGCCCTATCACTTGCACACGTCTTCTTCAATACTGTCTTTTGTCACCATAGATTATCTTGTATCATTGTTTTAGATTGAAATCTATATTTCAAGGAAAGTTTTTGATAAGCTTTATTTAAGCTATTAGGTACATGACTTACTATATTTATGGCCTTCTATGTTTAAATAAATAGACAAACAGAGCATGCAAATTAAACCTTAGAAGATATGTTATACGCATTTGTAGTATTTTATCATAATAACTAGGATGAATATTTGACATCTTTGGAATTTACTTACAATGATAGTATTTAAGTAAATATTAGTCATTTTTATTCTTTTTTAATATCGATCAGCAATTGATCATGCTAACAATTCTCTACTGTCCTATTGATATAAACAACTCAATAACAAAGAAGTTCATATAATGGCTTACAATGGCCTTGTAAGACATATGACACCGCTTCTTTATTATGCAAAATCAACAAAAGAAGTACGTGGATAAAAACCAATAACATAAGATTTTTTGAGAAGGTGATGAGGTGTTACTCTCTAACACCAACTGTCTATTTGACACATCAACCTAAATCCATAAGTTGGTACCTTAGTGGCTTGGACCTTTTTACATTTTTGTACTGATTTCTAATATTGTATATTGCTTTGAGCTTCCACGACATATTTAGGTCTATTGAATCTTCCATGTTTTGAAATTCAAGGAATTTCATACTCAGCCAAGGCTCTTTTCAAACCAACATCAACCACTACCACTATCATTGGTTGTGATTAATAACCAACAAAGACATGAAGTGCACAATATTTTGGAGCATTGCTACCTTTGCCATGGCAACGAATATCCACAACTTTAGTACAAAGTCCTTAAGAAATGTTATTCCATCCACAATGCAACGTGAAAACTTGCACAAAACCTCACATATTGTCAAAAAATAATTTGGAGATACTATTGAAAGCAAAATGAAGATATTTTACATTAGTGGAGAATTAATTGTAACATGATGTGGATAAGTTATTTGTATTGTTGACATATAGAGATAGATAATTGGAGCCATATTTGAGAAGTTTCTAGAATTAGAACGAATGTGGTAGTCTATATAGGATCCACCATAGAACATTCTAAAAAAGATTTAGGGCAATTATTTAGGTGGAGCCCACTATTAGGAATATTTTAGAAAGTTCCAAGATGATTCGATAAAGTATAAATAAGACTAGCTAGGGCCATTTGGATATTGGATTAAATATGGTTTTTGTCTCTTTTTTTAAATAAAGTTGAATTTCTCATTTTTTTATTCAATTCTATTCTATTCTCTTTTATCTTTTATATTCTATTCTATTTAGATCTATTCAATTTTGTTCTAGTCTATGATGCCTTATATTATGATGGGATTTATATTACTACAAATTGGAAGGATCTTAGATCTTAGAGATAGTCCAATTCTATTTCAATTTTAATAATATTAAATATGGCCCTGAAATGATATTTCTAGTAGTATGGTCTTATGAATAACATTACTTGAAGATAAAGATTAACCATCTATTACTTCTACATTTTTAGTTTTTGACTTTTGTAATAAAAGAATTTTATAGAGTTTGAAAAATTCTTCATTTGAAAAGCAAAGAAATGCTCTTGAATCTAATAAGGCATTTATTTGAAGTCTTTGTGGACTAAGAAATAAATGTATAATAAAACAAGAAGCAAATTGGATAGAAAAAGAAGAATCTTGATGAATTTGAGGTATTGAAATGTTCAACCACATTATTCCTATTGTAACTAGGCCTCATTGTTTTCTTGAATGATTGCACTCCTAGTCTTAGTTATATGTTGGTTTTTTGGACAATTTTTTGATTTGTGGCCTTCTTCACTATAATACAAGCATAAGCCTTATTCAAATTAATGCTTCTTTTCTTCTACTATAAGAGGTTCAAATTCTATCACATCAATTTACATATATTTGGTTTCAAAATATAGAAATAATATATTTGTTGAAGCAACAAAGTACAAATTTTTAATGCATTGCTTTATCAAAGTCCATGAAAATTGATCTTAAAAGCATTGAAATAATCAATTATCGTACTTCACAACTTAGCTGATAGCTTCATTGCGTGTTTGAAAATCAAATAATAATAATAATAGATTTTATACAACATCCCTTAATTTTCAATAGAATTAGTTCATAAGAGCTTTTTCATCTCAATTGATATCACAAGCCTATTGCCTATAATCAAATACATGAATCAATACAAAGTGTAATTCTTGACGCAATGAGCAAATTTTTGTTGTTGCCCATTAAATCTTATCATATTCTCTAAATGCCTTTGCAAATATTTTTAAAAAAGCTTTAAAATTGATTAAGTTTCTAGATCTCTTTTCAAATAAAGGAGCAAATCAAGATAAGGCTTATCCTTTGAACAAGGCTCCAACTAAATTAACTTGCAACTCCTATATTGGATAGTATTTAAGTTGTAAAAAAGTTACCAATCAAATTTGGTTAACAAACCTTTGGAACTTCAAGTATGTGTCATCAAACTTTCCTGGAAGATTAATCCAAGGCTTATTATGTTGTTGAATAGATAAATTTTCTTATTGAGGTATAGGTGCCACCTTCTCCTTGAATGTAGAAGCTTGAAGAAATCATTGCATTACATGTTGACCTACTTTAGGTCTTGCATCACCATAAAATCTTACAAAAAAATCCCTCAATTTGAATAGTTCTATAAGCTGAAGCATTCAATGTGTTTATATTAATATCTAATTTCGACTTAGGAAACTCAAACTTACTAATATCTTTACCTCTAGTCATTCTAAAAGAAAGAAAAGGAATTTCTAAACAATATCAATTTAAAGGAGGATATTCTATAACTTCTAAAGTGTTTAGATGCCTTCAAGAAGAGGAATAGTCCACTCTCTATTAAAAAGGATTAAACTCTAGTATTCATAAGATGGTAGTCTTGACAAACTATTATGGATATACTATACAAGAGATTGAACAAGAAGTTGAACAAAAGAGTTTCAACAAGAAAGTTTACAAGAACTTAATTAAATCAAATGCATATAAAATCAACACCATAAAAGATGAACTAAAATTCTAAAAGATATATTGTCGAGATTGAGAATTTCACCAATATTGATTCTAATATATGTTATGTATTAAGAAGTTTTTCAAAAAGTTTTTATATTACTTAAAGATGAAACAACTTTAGAAAGTTCCTTGAAAAGTTTTCATGTTGCTTAAAGATGAAGTAATCTTACGAAACTTCTCAAACAACTTATTTAATCATCTTAGAATTTTCTAAAATCTATTAAAATATTTAGTGAACTTTCTAAAATCTTTTTAAAATCTTATAGAATTCCTAATAGAATCTTATAAGAATATTTCTAAAATCTTCTTATTACATGTTCATAACACCTATCAATTACAATAATTAGCATAAAAGATGCAAGTATTATTTTGATTCTCTTATAATCATCTTTTTTTGCAAGGCAATAAGGATTATATAATACTTCTAATCTTGCTCATATTTTTTTTTTTTTTTTTTAATATAATCTTGTATTTTCATTCTCTTGCTTCCGTAAAAACTCATTTTCTATAAGTTTGGTTTTCTTCTCACTGTCTTTGCTTTCTTTTGCCTACCTCTTCCTTTCAAAAGTAAACTTCTTATACTCTACAATCAACTTCATCTCTTCTACTTTCTTTATAGTCTTGGCTTTTTCAAGCACAACCTCCAAGAAAGCTTGATAAAACTTGTTTTGAGATTACATGCTTTTGCTTTGGAAGGTAGGAAGTATGTTGCACTTACCTTTGTGTTTGGCCATGGATAAAGATGACACCTTCCATTATGATACATTTAGATACACTCTAAGTTTTGACAATGTCTTAGTCAATATCTCCTCAAGTGGTAGCAATTTAACAAATGAATTCAAGGCACGCATAAGCTCAAATGACATTTGGTTCTTTGATCAATCTCCCTACAAAAAAACTTTCTAGAGTGACCAAGAGTACTTTGAACTCTATCTTTTACTTCAAACTTACTATTACATGCTCTTAAAGCTCTTCTTGTCAAAGTAGACTAAAGAGTCCATTGCTTGTAGTGGCACCCAGATTGGATCTTCTCCAAACAACTTCTTTATCCTTTCAAAATGAACACAAACTTTGTTGAGCTTTTGCTCAAGGGTATATTGTAATTAAACTTTTGTAAGTTTTCCAAGGCTTTAGTGAGGTTCTTTTTGTAAGTGTGAAGACTACCTCTCATGGCCTTGTGGTGATGGTGGAGTCATCCACAGCTTAGGTTGCTGACCACCTGCACAAGGACGGTCAAGCACGAGGATGGTCAAGCCTACCGTCTTTGTCTTGGGAGGACTATTGATTTTCGTTGCACCTAAGATGCCATAAATGCTCTCAAAATCTTGTCTATCTTCAAGCCAAGACACAATGTTTGCAAAGACAGTTTCTATTAGGTGTATCTTAGATGCCTTAGATGTAACTAAAACAGACATGGTGGGAATGTAGGGAGAAAATGTCAAAACATTTAACACAGAGATGTTAAGCAGAAACAAAACCCAAATCAAAGCTAAACCAAAGCCTGGAACAAAATTTTCTTCCGAGAGATCTGCCCAAAAAACCCATAATATCGCGAGTCAATTAGGCTCCGCACAACAACAAGCACTTTTCATATTAAAGTTCGATTTCAGAAGCAAATCAGCAACATTCCTTAGGCAAAGCCAGCACTCTCAGACTTAAGTTAGATTTCAGAAGCAAATCGGCAGGTCCATAAGGGATGTGTTATCTGAAAGCTGCAGTACTACAGATATCTGCCTTGATTCCAAGTGATATAAGACTTATTTGGTTTTTGCCATTTTCTAAGTTTGACCCCCCTCTTATTATCTTTTGGACAGATACGCTATGTACAGAAAAGTACGGAGGCAGGTGGGAGTGAGATTTCATTTGTTCACTTTATGATTTTTTTAGATAAATCCACAATCAATGTAACAAACGTATTAAAGTATCATATGCTCAAATGTAACAGTCCACAATGGCATTTCACTCTACAGCCATCATTGGTTACGCTCGCAATGCGTACTGCAGAATACATAATATTTCAATAACCTGCTACAAGTTTCAGTCTCCCACGAATCACCGCAAGCCATCAAACAGACTCTCCTGTTTGATTCGCTCACCACTAAAGGATAGTGACCTCACACCATAAACCACCTGACTACATCTACGCCTCCTCCAAATCGTCCTCATACTCACCCTCCTCCTCGGCGCTCGCATCCTGGTACTGCTGGTACTCCGAAACCAAATCGTTCATGTTACTCTCTGCTTCAGTGAACTCCATCTCGTCCATGCCCTCGCCTGTGTACCAATGCAAGAAAGCCTTCCTCCTAAACATGGCAGTGAATTGTTCGCTCACTCGCCTGAACATCTCCTGGATGGACGTTGAGTTACCAATGAAGGTCGAAGACATCTTCAACCCGGTCGGAGGAATGTCACACACACTCGACTTCACGTTGTTCGGAATCCATTCAACGAAGTATGACGAGTTCTTGTTCTGCACATTGATCATCTGCTCATCAACTTCCTTGGTTGACATCTTCCCTCGGAACATCGCAGAGGCCGTCAAATACCTTCCGTGCCGGGGATCGGCCGCGCACATCATGTTCTTCGCGTCCCACATTTGCTGCGTCAGCTCCGGAACAGTGAGCGACCTGTACTGCTGCGATCCCCTCGAAGTCAGGGGAGCAAAACCAACCATGAAAAAGTGCAGACGCGGGAACGGGATCAAGTTCACCGCCAACTTGCGCAGATCGGAGTTCAGCTGTCCCGGGAAACGCAAGCAGCAAGTAATACCACTCATTGTCGCAGAAATCAAATGGTTTAAGTCTCCGACTGCATCACAAATCAACCACGTTACAGTTACCTGTCAGTTCCTTTCATAACGTCTCCCTAAAAGGAATCTCCCAACCCCGACCATAACTCAAACCCATCCTCCTAATCAAACATCTATCCCGTTCGTGCTACTAGCATGCAGCCCCTCCTTCAATACACAAACGGAACATCCACCAACCCCATGGACACTTACACGACGGAGTAATGAGCTTCAACGTCCTAAAGCAGATATCGTATAGAGCCTCGTTATCCAACACCATACACTCGTCTGCATTCTCCACCAACTGATGCACTGATAGAGTCGCGTTGTACGGCTCCACCACGGTGTCTGACACCTTCGGCGACGGGAACACTGAAAAGGTGAGCATCATCCTATCGGGATACTCCTCACGGATCTTCGAAATCAGCAATGTTCCCATCCCCGATCCGGTTCCTCCTCCCAAAGAGTGACATACTTGAAAACCTGCCAAATAACACACCCACAACCTCAGCTCATGTAAACCTTCGATATATATATATATATATATATATATATATAAATTCCCCTATCACGATCCACGTCGCAACGGCCATAGAAACAAGTAATACAACAACCCGCACCCCCGTATCTTCAAACTTAACCAGTTCCCCAATCCAGCCATACCTTGCAAGCAGTCGCAGCTCTCAGCCTCCTTTCGCACCACATCCAACACGGAATCAATCAGCTCAGCTCCCTCCGTGTAATGCCCCTTGGCCCAGTTGTTTCCCGCACCCGTCTGTCCAAACACAAAGTTATCAGGCCGGAAGATCTGTCCGTAAGGACCGGACCGCACGCTGTCCATGGTTCCAGGCTCCAGATCCATCAAAACCGCGCGGGGCACGTATCGGCCACCGCTGGCCTCGTTGTAGTACACATTGATGCGCTCGAGCTGCAAATCCGAGAGGCCCTTGTAGGTACCGGTGGGGTCGATGCCGTGCTCCTCGCACACCACCTCCCAGAACTTGGCTCCGATCTGGTTTCCGCACTGCCCGCCTTGAATGTGCAGGATCTCTCTCATCTTGTCCGACTGCCGCGACCGAACACTGACTGACTCACTACCCTCGCCCCTCCTACGCAACTCGGCAATCGACCGTGGAAAAACACACGCACACGGAGAGCACCAAGGAAGAGCCACAAAACACACATAAAGACAGAGGCAGAGATAAAGCGGGAGATAGACAGGGCCGATGTTGAAGTCTGGCCCCTGTGGCTTGGGCACGGGCGATGCGCAATGTGGCGAACTCATCGCACTTGCGTTCCCATTCGTTGCGAGCATAGCCCGGTTCCATGTGAGCGCCGTCAGATGGAAGTAAGATCTGACGGCGTCCTACGATGCTGGGCTGTCACGGGCAGTGTCGAAGTTTTTGGTAGGGGCAGAGCTTGGCGGGTTTCTATTGGGCGGAAGAGTCAGGGCCTCTGCGCTGGCACCATGCGGATGAATAAAAGGCTCGAGGGTGCGTTTTACTCATTCCAACTTTCATCCCCTAGGTTCGTTGATTTGTTCAAAATAGCCATTAGTTATTTTGACATGTTGGGTTGTACTTTTCTCCGAATTTGGATGTTTAGAAGAACTTTTCTAAGTGAATTATATTTTTGTCTCTAGCATGACATGTGGTCGTCCTTTCGAAACCTGGAGAAAGTTATGTGGAAAGCAAGATTGTCTTTTGGTTGTGATGATCTTGACAAGTGTTAGTTCTGCTTTTTCAGTCTTTATTTTATTATTTTTTTCATTTTTTAAATAATTCTTGGTTATCTAAACAATGATGATAGTCCATTGTAGAATTTTATGTGAATTTTATGTATGATCTAGTTTATAATAATAATAAAAAATTGAATGTTGATTTTTGATTTTTGATTTTTTTTTCAAGTCCTTATGAAATAATTCAAATTGATAGAATATATTTTTTACTCTATTTTTTACTTTATTTAAAATTTTTAAAAATATCTAAAACACGAATGAGACTTATATATTTAAAAATCTATTAAAACTTATTAGTTAATGAAGCATTTGTTTCAGATTTAAATACATTTGCATATGATTAAATGTCATGTATTATTCTTAGAATATTTAATTAAATCTCAAAAGGTCATGTTCTTGACCTACTACAAGTAGCTCAATTTCTTTGTCTTATTTCCTTACACTTGTTGTATTGGTATGTTTTATAAATTATAATTATTCATTCTATAGAATGATAAGATTGTCCCAAAAAAGAAACAATTTTTATATTATTAGGTGGAATTGAATAGAAGATATTTGAGTTAGATTTTTTTTTTTTTTTTAATTTTTTATCAACAAACTATTTGGCTTGACATGTGTAGTTTACTTAGTAAATACTCTAAGTCCATGTGCTTGACATAATAAACAAACTACTTTTCTAAAAAGTAATAACAAAAAATTTCAACAACATACATTATGACAAGTGTCTTATATTTTGTTGTAACATGGTTATGTTATATGTTAGAATAAAATTTGATTCCATATAGAATTGGTCAATATATACTTTTTGTATGGAAATCTAGTATAGTTCTAATTTACTAGTGTTAAAATTTGTACATTTAAAGAACATTTCTTAATATATTGAGATGTTTATTCAAATCGTTATGTCCATACAAAGTAACTTTTACATGTAAGTATGGTAATTAGAACTATACTAGGTGTATATATTCGATGCATAGTTCTTAAAATTTGAATGTTTATAGTATTTTTTTATGGTAACATTATAAAAAGTGATTGTATTTTCTTGAAGTCTCAAAATATGTCTATTTAAAAACTATATATCTAAAACCAAAGTTAAAACATATTAGAGATATATATATTTTTAAAACTATGGTTCTAATTTAAATAAAATAAAATGTATATATATAAAATATTTGATATATTATAAAGATAAATAATTTTAATTTTATGTAATATTAAATAAATTATACTAGTACATAAAAGAATTTGGAATAAGACGATACAAAGATGTCACATAGTTTTATTATAAGCAAGATATATATTTTAGAAGTGTAAACAAATCAATGCCTATTTTTTTAATTTTATGTTGCATTACCCAAGATCAACATTTGAATATTAAAGATATAACCAAGAGAAAATTATTCATTACAAGAATCATGACAATGCTTGAATATTTGGTTTATTTAAAAGAACTTACTTGTAATTAATCATTTTTTACTATTATAAAATTCTATCTCAAGTATTATAGAATTTCAATTGAATATAATACTTTTTGATTTTTTTATAATTCAAATATTCTTTTGATGACAAAAAATCAATTTTTTACTTTGTATTCTATAAACATGTAAGTATAGAGATTTTAATAAACCTCAACAATTTAGTATGATTATCAAATTAAACTTAAATACATCTTTATTAATTTATTTAAAATTTAAAATTAGATTAATTCCCTCTACTTGATTAATTAAAAAAATTAATTTAAATTAATATAAAAAATATTTCTTCTATCTTTTAGATTTATCATTAAAAAATAACAATGTAAATTTAAATATGTCTTTATAGATTTTATGCATATATTGTATGAAACACCAAACATGTATGTATATATATATATATATATATATATATATATATATATATATTAGTTATATTTTCTAATTAGCTTGCAATTATAATTTTATTTTAAAGTATTAATTTTTTAAAAAATAAATCATATATGAATGGTAAAAATATTAAAAATATTGATATAGTAAAATAATCAATTTTAAAAGCAATAGTATTTTTTCCTATTAATTAATATTATTTTTTGCAACAAAGGTATTAATTATCAAAGGATATTAATCATTAGAAGTGGCACATTGAAGACAAGATAGAAATCATCTTTGCTAGGACTCTACAATTTAAGATAGTTGCCTTTGACATGGCAAGCAAGAGATCTTGCCTCATCTAATTATGTAGCCCTACCAACTACATGACCTTGCTCTACACATTTATATATAAGGCCTCTATTAAATACCTTTATTAATTCATAAAATTGAGTAAAAAACAATTAAATAGTAGAAATCAAAAGTTATTAATTATGCACCATAAACCAAAGTTGGTTTCCAAAATCATGATTGATTGTTGGAGGTTATTAGTTTATGGAGGATTAATTAACAAGAACATTATATTTTCACATTTGCAAGTATAAATAGATACATATTTGTAGATTTTTTTTTTCAACACAAACATTGTACAATCAAAAGAATTTATAAATTTTTATATAAAATTATGAAAATAAATTCAATGATCTACACCAATTGTTAACACATTTAGACTTTTAAAGCCCAAGCAACCAGAATTTAGGTATTTAGAAATTGGTGTGGGTTAATGCAAATGATAACAAACTTACTCTTTTAAGGTTCAAACAACTAATGTACAGGTGCTTTAAAATCTTTATACGGTAATACAACACAGAAATTTCCTTAAAGATGCCATCACGTTCCAGAGCAGTAGGCAGCAACCTTGAGAGGCAAAAGGAGCAGAAGAGACTTTGAGAGTTAAACTTAAAAGCTAGAGAATGGCAGAAATGAGAGGAGGTATGAAATAGGAAGAATGGGGAAAAAAGAAACACATGTAAGTTAGAGAGAAGGATAGCCAACCTCAGCAACAATTATCTTTTCAGAAGAAGTCCAAATCTACTCAGGGGGAGTAGGGATGCTAACTCACCCGCACGCTTCCAAAGTCACTTATACCAGAAACTTTTCAACAAATATGTTCACTCACATTTGCAGGTCCATAGATGTAGTTTTAATACCACTAATTCACAACTTCAATCCCAGTCGTGGGCATTCCAACAGAAAGCTGATGTGCAGTCTCCGCGATAATCTGTAAGACAAGCACCAAGCAGTGTTATTTCCATATATATATATATATATATATCTTACGGATCCACATAGCCCAGCTTCGTTGTTACCCCAAGTATCTGTCAAACATAGAGGTACAAACCTGATGCGAAGCAAATGATATGGTCCATAGATGTTATCATTACAATAGATGACTAACTTTGAAACCAAATTTTCCTCCGAACTGTAGTTCTTTTGTGCATCAAACTTCGAACGACTGAGCACTACCATGTATATCAGAACTTTTGCTTCAATGCTACAAGTCAACAGCGTGACTATTTCAATGCAAAACTGTCAAACGCTAACTTGGTTTTGTAACTCACTACATGTGATGAAGACAGGACCAATAGTGAACTTAAAAAAAAGTTATGCATTGCGCGAGATTAGCCAGCGTAAGTCTTAGAACTTGGTCGCCAGATTCTATCCTAAACTTGACATATGATTACAGAACCAAACAGGAGGAAAAATAACATCTCTACAGAAACCTCGAGGGTTATAGTACGATCTATTCTGCTGAACACTTCTTATTTACGCTACTAGGTGCGAAAAACGATTGAAAAAATGAAATAAAAACATTATAAGAGAATCAAAGAATGGTTAGAATGCGTACCTTTCCCATGGCCTGATAAGACAAATCAGTAACGCCACCCACATGAGGGGTGATCAAAACATTAGGATGTTGTAAGATTGGATCAGTGGGATCAAAAGGTTCTGTCCACGCAACATCAATGGCTAGTCCACCCAGATGCCCGGATTCGATACCAGCCAAGACAGCATCGTAATCAAGCAAGCCTCCTCGTGCGATGTTTACTACGTAAGCTCCCTGCAATGCCAATTTTGTCACATGTGATGGTGTTAGCCTCTAAAGAAAAAGACCTTGACACCAAACAACGCATGGATCTCAACAGCAAGATCACACAACAAATAGTTTAAACAAAACCGTTTGCAACCAAGTTTTAAAAACAACAAATCCATAAAAATGCTAGCAGTTATGCCTCATAAAAATCGCTGTAGTTAACGTAGACCTTGTGTTTTGCTATGCATGCCTGAACAATACTGCTTTCATTTGATAACCGAAGGTATCGTTTATGGGAACACACCAATCAAAAAAAGAGTAATACGTACCTTCTTCATCGCTGAAAGAAACGTTGCATCAATTATCCCTTTCTGCAAATTGTAGCATGATGGAGTCATAAAATGGGTTCTAAACTTCATAGAGAATTATTTTTCGGTACACATGCCTATACATCAAGACTGCGCTCGAACCTGGTATGCCGATATGAAACACCAATATCGAACCAGTCTTCATATCCATCGGATACATCCATATTATAGTTTCACAACCAAGAAAACTGTGTGCGGATAATGAGACATGATTATGAACTCACAGTTGAAGGGTTAAGTGTACAACACGTAACAACAATGTCAGCACGGCTGGCAAATTCGAGAATGCGCTCTGAACCACCTTTTTCATTTACGAAATCCTCATCGTCAGATGTATTGGGAAGAGCTCCATTCTGCGAACCTACAATGTACAGCACAATGAGTTAGTTTGTTATCAGACGAAGCACATCAGAGCAAGAAAGTTCTTTGAAAGAATCAGAAATCGCACCTTAATAATTGGCGTCGTCAAAATTAACAGCACAGAGCGCAGTTCTAAAACAAGTTCATCCCCAAATAAAAAATACCTCTTAAACTAGTCCAAGATCGTCGGACAGCAAGTAAATGTACACCAAAATATCTCAAGCGTAGTGCCAACTCTTTTCCAATATGACCGTATCCGAGTATAAATATCTAGAAAAGAGAACCCAACAGCGTTAAAATTTCAATTAAAATAAAAAATGAAATCTCAAGTCAATTTAAAAACATAAAACCACACACAAGAAGTTGCCTTAACATACGAAACTCCCACAATTCGAACACAGTGCCAACACTAAGATCTACTACCACCCAGAATAGAAAACGAAGAGCACTATTAACAACGCTCAAAAAGCCTTAAAAACACATGGCTAGTTGGGTCATATTCTGCCAAGGCTAGTAAATTCGACCCATCTGATCGCTTCACTGAGCTTGGCAGGCTGAAACTCGAAAAGAAAAACTTTCAGCAGCACCTTAGGAAAGTGGTGATTCCAAGAGGATGCAATTAGATGATATACTAATATTGCCATTGTTGAGAGAAAATCTGCATACTGCAGGCTAAAACGAAGAGTCACATTATCAGCCACTAAGCAACTAGAACAAATGAAGGACCTTACGTACAGTTTTTCCGTACAAGGTGCTGCCGGCAGGTTCGCCTAACCGTTTTGCAGCAATAGAGGACGCCATGACTCTCTGCCACAATTCCCGGGTCAATTTCATGAAATTATACGTATACACATACACAAGCAAAGGCTCCGCTCTGTGTACCATGTCTGTCCATAAGCTGAATTTTAAACGTTAAATGTTTGTGAAGGCAAGGACGCTGAATATGTAGTTAGCTACTGTATCGTCTCAACGGCTAAGAGGACTCAAAAGACAAAGCCCAGATCAGCCAGTGCGACATAAATGATGATAGAGAATAATCCTCAATTGCAGTCACTGAAACATGCTTATACCTGGTGCCGCAAGAGGCCTAGCATCATGTAAATACAATGTTCGGCGCAAGCTAATGCATTTCCAGTATTCACACTTGGAATTCTAGCCACCTTAATACCCGCTCTTGTCGCAGCTTCGATATCCACCCCTGTAGAAAGAATTAGAAAAAAAAAATTAGGAAGTGCCATAGTCGTAACATTTCCATGTCTCCCAAAACCCTCCTCATACCGTTTACTACAGCTAAACTTGCACCACATCCGCACGTCATCAAAAAAACATACAAATTGAAAGTAAAGCTTGTATGAGCGCATTAGGTCGCCTACCTTCGAGCCCAACACCAAACTGCACAATGAGTTGCAACTGCTTGGCGCGGGCAATCACTTCGGCATCCAGACGCATCATTCGAGGTACGCAGATGTCATAATCTCCTATCCGATCAGCCACTAACGTCCTGGGACAAGAATCCAACTGCCGTGCACACACATCTCATCCCAGGGCACTTCACATTGAACTCTCCCCAACTTCAAGTTCAACACAAAGTACTAAAAAACTTACTTGTCTCGAACCCGTTCAATCTCTCGACCCATCTTGCAGCATACAATCAGTCATCAAAGACACAAAAAAACTTGATCCAACCATTTCCCAAACGGGAGAAAACGCAGAGCACTGTCGAAAGCCTCGTTCGCATTGGCATCCTTACTGCGAGGGACTCAAGCAAGGAAATGCATAGAAATTCAGCGAAACGACAAGACTAACGTACATGAAGATGTGGGTATTGTTGCAAATTCTTCCGAGTGTAAAACTCCGCAGCAGGGAATTCATCCCCGCAGAAGAGAATACGCAAAGGCTTGAGCTGGTTGTGGGCCACCGCTTCCCCCATCGCCCTCTTAGCTTGTGTCAAAGCCAAAGTCCCGCGAAACAGAGCCAAATCGCACGTCGAGCGAGTGCCCGAGAAGGTCTGCGACGCAAGTGCAGCGGAGTCGAAGCAGAAGCGATGACGATTGGGACCCAACGCGGCGAATCCCCCTCGCAGCAAGCTCAGGCCTCTCCTCGCCATAGCCTGCTCCCTCTGCAATCGCTGTAACAGCGTGACATAACAAAAGTCGACTTGGAGCTTTTTCACCCTTCAAGCTTTTACTTTTATTATTTCTGGAACTTTAGTAGAAAATTGGTGAGTTGGGTTCTAAGACCAAATGCGATGTTGTTCTGTAAAATTTGAGTGAGCAATAATTATATTATATTATGTTATATGAGAATTAAATTATATTAAATGAGAATTTGAGTAAGAAATAATATATATTAACATGGATTCTTATTTTTTTATTTTTTTATTTTTTGGTGAAAATGTGTTTAATCTTCTTTGCTAGATATTACTCTGACAATTTCTTGTGTGTCTGTGAAAAAGCCATGACTTTTGGAGAAAATAAACACAGTAAAATTGATGAATATTACTTGAAGATTATTAATGTATAAAAAAATATAATTTAACTTTCAACGTTTTCCTATCTAAAAAAATGTACCGGAGTCATTTTCATGTCTATCAAACTACTTTGTGAAATATTTTTGGAGCTTCCATAAAAAAAAAACGATCCAATCTTGGATTTATTGAAAAAGACGGATAATTGAAATTGGGGTGTGAAAAGATTCCAACCCATTGGAAAATACAACAAACAAGTGGGTGATGACTACCAATGTTAAAGTTTAAAATGTACATGAGTGAAGGTGTTGTGTTTAAGTATCTTTAAATGTACTTAAAACATTTAATTTATAAAAAAAAATATATATATATATATATATATATATTGAATAAAAAAATAATAAAAAAATAATAATAATAAGTTAATATATATATATATATTGAATAAAAAAATAATAAAAAAATAATAATAATAAGTTAATATATATATATATATATATATATATAAATAGAACAGTTGCGACTTTTAGAATTGCTTAAAGACCGATCAAATTTATTTGGACAAACGTAAAAGAAATGCTCATATTAACAGCAAAACTTCTGAGTACATTGAGTCTCAACCAAGAATAGTAGCAAGTAATAAAAGTGGCATAATAGTGTGGTATTTGTAAATGTATGTCTACTCCATAAAATAAAAAAATAAAAATTGAAATAGCAATCTTTTTGATACTCAACGTCAGCAAGAAAAATATAAATCATGGAATAGGTTGCTTGCATTTCAATTGGCATTTGGAAATGAAAGTGAACTTAAAGAAACTTAAGATATGAAGATATACAAACACTAGAAAATAAAAAAGATTTTAATTTTGGTATTATTTACTGTAAGGGTAAAACTAACAAATGTTATTTATCACTCTAATTTATTTTTGATATATATATATATATATATATATATATATATATATATATATAAAGAATATAAAGTTTTTAGAAAAGTAGTGATGTATTAAACTTCAAATTTTAATTTAATTTTAAAAATGAGAAGAAGGATAAATTAAATTTTTATTTACAACTAATACATAATTCTAAACTTATCTTATTTTTTAAAAAAAATTATACAGTGTCATAATATGAATATGAAAACTTCTATTTTTTATAATTACAAATTCTTTTCAAATTAATTTTAAACTATACATCAATTACTTTAGTTTGTAATTTATCTTAAAACCTAAAGTATATATGTATGTGAGTGCATATATGCAATTTAATTATAATTAATTACAATTTTATTTAAGTATAGAATATATCTTGCATAATCTTTAATGGTAAATTTTATTACTAATCTTTATCAAATAAATTGGATAGCATGTTTTTTCACATATTTTTTTATTGTTTATGACAATAGGTCAAACTTACAATTTTTAAGAGGTCTTTGTACTTAGGTGGTAAAAGAAAAAAGCTTTAAACTAGAAAGCTTACAACTGATTAAAATTTAAAAGTCTTTCTTAGTTGGTTTCATACTTTAGAAAAATCGACTTAAATATCTTAAGATGAGGTGGAATGTATTTTTTTTTTTTTCCTACATGACATAAATAATGTTGTATTAAGTAAAAAAATGCCAAAAATATTTATTACAATTATAAAAAAAACATCTATGCTATATTTATATGGTTTTAATTATCAAGGTATAAATTTCCATACTTGGAATCACAATAAAAGAATTATTTTGTCCATGCAATAGTCTCTTCTCACTTGATATTATTTCCAAAAAGCAAAGCTTTTGAAAAAAGACTTTTGCCTTCACCAAATGGAGGATTATTATAAGAGTTTTTAACCATAGCCTGTCAAAGTGAAGCAATAAAGCATTAAAAAAATGAAGAAATTAAACATATAAAATAAATAAATAAATAAATAAATAAATAAATAAAAGTGAGTTTATTGTCTTGAAGGTTGCATGTTGCAAGAACCCATTTGTGAGTTTCACTAGAATGTGGAGCCTGCAATGGAGTTCATGGTCTTGCTTACGCCCCAGGATTAGTCTTCTTAAGAGCTATACAAAGACACAACTACGGAGAAAGAATTAGCCCTAATCCAAAATTAATTTGCTTTTAAAAAAAACTTCTTCTTCTAATTCATCTGCTTCCAAGGTTCAGTTTATGTCTACTTGAACTCAACATTAATTGTCAGTGTTTCTGACTTGCAATATTGCACTGCACAAAAGATGATTTGGGCACTGAAAGCTCATGAAACTTGAGGTCCCCACCAAGTGAAAAGAAACAAATGAGTGAGTTGTGGGTTCAAAGACCAATCTGATGTTTGACTGCAAAGTATGCAATTGCAATGAAAACTGTGTAGAGTCTCCACCATGTGGAGCATTCAAGCCAAGTGTTGAACTTGTTAACTAACTAAGTATTGTCAATTGAATTCCAAACTAATTTTTATTTTCTTAATCATGTTTGGTTTTGTTTGTATATTTATCATACATTTTGTTAACCTGCTTTGATACAATAATGTGACTTGAAGTGTTTTAGTCATGACATTATTAAATTGGATTTTATTTATTTATTTATTTATTTCATTTGTTACTATATTGATTTTATTTTATTTTATTTTTTGGTGTTTCTTGTAAATTTTTGAGATTTTTGCACCCATAACTATGCTCTATGAAAGTTATGTAGTAGTCAAAAATTGAATTTGTATGGTTCTTTGTGTGTTGTTGCTTGTTTTACATTTGATTGTGTTGACAACTGCTTATTTTTCTTTGGGCATCCATGTAAACCCATTATAGAAATCTTTTTGAATACAATACATCATTTTTTGTTGTTGTGCAATTTAAACTATAAAAGTATATGACCAAATAAATAAATGTTTACAATAAAAGCAAACAGTTAAATTTATTGTAAAATTTTGGCTCAATATTTTTATTAGCCATTGTATAAAAATTATTTATTAATTTATTATAGAAATTCTTTAAAGCACATGACACATTGTAAATTTTAAAATTAATTTTGCAATTAATTTTTAAATAAACATTGTAGCAAACAAGTCATTTCATAACTTCATTGATGTTATAGATATTAATATCAATAAAACCTGTTGTTTCTAACTTGTTTATGTAGATTAGATTTTTTCTATTCTTTTTAATTTTCTTAAATTTAAATTTTTAATTTTACTTAGACCTTAGATTTTTATGTACAAGAATTAAAAAAATAAAAGTATGTATATATACTTATTTATATAAAAGTATGTATATATACTTATTTAAACAAACAATGCATTTATCACCATCTGCAAAACCTCAGTCAATCACAAAGCATCTTCCAAATCTTTCTCCCCACAATTAAAATTCTGTTCAGAATAATTCCAATAGAATAAAATGCTTCTTTATGATCCACCATCCTCTTTTCCTTCTTTTTGTACTGATCTGACTAAGAAATAAAGAAAAATAAATGTAGTGTTTTTTTTAAAAAATTAAAATAAATGAATCTAGTATACAATGATTTTCATCTTTAACATCTTTGAGAAAAACAACATTGACACCAATCATTGTACATAAATCAACATAATATTGTTCTAAATTACATATTTTAAATTTGATTGAACTCCTATTTATACTTTAAAAGCATAATTGAACGTGATTAATATATGGTAAGTATGTAATTTCTGAGTTTATTTTACACGTAAACTAAAAAATATAACTAAATATGCATCTTAGATTCTATTGATTTTCTCAATCAAATCAAGTAAGAGCAAACTCTAGTCATATATTACGGTTTAAAGTAGCTTCAAAAACAATGTAATAGCTGTTACAAGAATACTCTTTTATGCATTAATGTCAACATTGAATAAAAGTCAATCACTTATGATCCAATAAAAAAATGAATAAATTAATACATATACAAAATTAACCATTTTCTAACTCTACATACCTGTGGTTAGATAAAATAAATAAGCATAAATTTCATGTCCCTTCTTCATCTTTAATTTGACCTTTATTTCTTTAACATTTTTTATTATATTTTACATGATTATTTACAACTAAAAAGAATTATAAATATATATTTTTTGAACAATTGATGGTTCAAAATATTAGTTTTATCATAAAGTTTTATTTTTTTGTAATTTTATACTCAATCCATTTTGCAAAATTTCCATTACATCTTCAGTACCTTGAAATTATCACTTCATGAACAAAAATAAGTAAATAATATAAATGAATATCTATTAAAAAAAATTATTTGTTAAAAAAATATTAAATATTAAAGAATTTTTTAAACTTATATTTTGACTTTTTTTTTTTTTTTTTTTATTCCATCGATATATTATGATTTTTAAAATTCTTTTTATCCTTTTTATTTGTATTTTCCAAACTTATTTTTTTCAAGTTTAAACATTTAGATTTCCAACACACACATGTACATGTGTGATAACATGCTAATAAACTGCTAATATTAGTGTACATACCTGATCTATACTATTAATAAACCCAAATTCTTAGTTCCATTATTATTATTATTGTAGACCACACAATGTTAAACTCAAATTATTTCACCTTTTTTTTTATTGATTTTGGATATTGAAAAGGTTTCAATGTTGACAGTACAATGTTGTTCTATGCAATGCATTTGCATAAGAACCCAATTATAGA